TTTAAAAAAAATTCGTGATAACACAAGGCAGTGCGACTGTACGCAAACAAGGAAAAAACATTTTTTTCACCAAAAAAAAAAGGAACATAACACTCCGTCCTCACGGCCCCTTTCTTCCCAAACTTTCAAGCCTTTAACACTTTCTGAAAAGAAAACCGACTTGAAGGACACACCCGCTACAGCCACAGGTGGCATAACTATCATGCCAGCGATGATTGCAGCACCTCCGCCGATGCCTGCTACTGAACCAACAGTCGTTGAGATGTTGGTTCCATACTCCCAACGATCTAGCTAAACTCAAGATTTGACTGAAATACAATTTCGGCAATGAATTGATTATTACCAATATATAACAGTTCTAGCCAAATGGAGATATGAAGATGACATTTCCTCATATTCAAAAGAAGAACTATTAAAGAATTTAAAACAAATAAAAGTCAGGATAATTTGCATACGTCTTCGGCAATCAAGCTAAGCTCCTTTTCAAGTTTCTCTCTATTGTCAATCCAGTGATCCAAGAGGATCATCGTCTTATCACACATACCCTTGTACAATAGAAAATCATCTTCTGGTATCTGAAAAGCCCCATCTCGAGCAAATATGCTGCAAAATGGTACAGAAAAAACCAACCAAGACTTCACCCGTTTGGTCATCATATCTTGGCACTCCTTGATTATCTAGGGGAAGCAACTTAACACGACACTGCTCCGCCATTGATACTTTTCACAGGCTATATAGATCTAAATTGTTCGCAATTACAAGTATTAGTATAAGTTCGCATCAAAATTTGATGAGCTGCCATGCCAAAATATCGAAAAAATCATAAGTGAACTCGTTTGAAACATAATGTAACGAAGTTGATGAAAAGCTAAATCAAAATTTTGAAAAAAAACCATAGGTGATCTGTGTTTAAAACTTGATACCACACTAGTCTCCAAAAATTCCTTACGCTACATTCTTAGGTTAAAAGTATGGTTGGCTGCACTCATATAAGAAGTTGCCGCTGGCATCTTCATGAATCACCAATGTGAAATGCGTTCGTTTAAACAAACAGCAAACTGTATCTACAAAATCTGTTTATAAAACGGTCAATGTGCATGGTATAGTGAAGGAAAGGGAGGACGCGTCCAAATTTTACCAGACTGAATTTTCAAAGCGATCAATTGGTTCGGTGACACTAGAATTTCCATCACATTTCCTCCAAAAGTAAATACGAGGTGCAGTCGTCGCCATCGACTCAATACATCATAACTAATGTAATGATGTCACATATTTTTTCAACGAATTGTTTTTACTCTAGCGTCGGTCTCAGAAGGGGAAGATGAGAGAGGGCAAGTCAGAATTCTCAAAGTGGACTAGCGAGAGAAGTAGCCAGCCTCCTCTCCTGAGTGAGGAAGGGGAGGGGAAAGATGGGAGTGTACTTATGAAGAATTACTACTCTTGTTGCAATTGAAAACAAATAATGTTTCAATAGGCAATCACTAGCAGTCATATAACAGTCGACATATAGTCATATAACATGGACATTTTTTCTTTCTGCACCTTTCTTTCAATG